GACATCAAAGTAGTCACCGTGGGGAGAAGCCGTTTCAGTGCCAAGAGTGTGAAAAGAGCTTCAGTCAGAAGGAAAGTCTTCTCTCCCATCAAAGGATTCACACAGGGGAGAAGCCATATCGTTGCTTGGAATGTGGGAAGAGCTTCAGTCAGAGCGCACCTCTCACTTCCCATCAGAGAATTCACACAGGGGAGAAACCCTATCAGTGCTTGGAATGTGGAAAGAGCTTCAGTCATAGGTCCAATCTCACGGCCCATCAGAGAATTCACAGCGGGGAGAAGCCATACCATTGCTTGGAATGCGGAAAAAGCTTCAGCCAGAGCTCCTACCTCACTTACCATCAAAGAACTCACAGTGGGGAGAAACCTTATCAGTGTTTGGAGTGTGGGAAGCGATTCACCTGGAAGAAAAGTCTCACTTCCCATCAAAGAACTCACAGCGGGGAGAAACCCTATCAGTGCTTGGAATGTGGAAAGTGTTTCAGCCAGAGCTCCAATCTAACCACCCATCAAAAAACTCACAGTGGCGAGAAACCATATCAGTGGCTGTGTACGGATTTAATTTTAGGAGACTTTCATTAGTATGCAGGTGAGGATTGCAACAGTGTTCTTGTCATTTGGCCACCCGGCACAGAAGTTGACCTTGTCTCTCAAAACCATGGAGTACACAGTCAGTATTTTTTCATACCATGTACCTAGATCTGAGAGGTGCAAGCCGTCGGCCAATTTGTGATTTGGCAACACTCAGCTCTCAATGCTGAGCTTTCCTTTGAAGAAGCTGATGTAGTTCCACTTCTAGAGCCTCCAGATTGCAAAATTGTGGTGCTCCTGACCTCCGCTGTCCTCCTCAACATGTCTAGGGTGGTGGTGGTATCAACTGGAGCTCTTCCTGGTATCTGCTAAACGCACACAGGACATCTGTCAGAAACTCCACAAGTTTTCCTCTGTGAGAAGGTTAAGTAAAGGATTCCCCTGTCCTCCTTTGAGCATTCAAAGTACATAATGAGTGCATGCCGGGAGCAAAGAACTGTATCTATGAAGAAGAAAGAGTTCTCTTAACCACAACACCACACTGAGAGCCAGCGTAGTGTAGTGGTTAAGAGCGGTAGACTCGTAATCTGGTGAACCGGGTTCGCGTCTCCGCTCGTCCACATGCAGCTGCTGGGTGACCTTGACACACTTCTTTGAAGTATCTCAGCGCCACTCACACCACACAGAGTGTTTGTTGTGGGGGAGGAAGGGAAAGGAGAATGTTAGCCACTTTGAGACTCCTTCAGGTAGTGATAAAGCGGGATATCAAATCCAAACTCTTCTTCTCTGTTCATTGAACCTCAAAGGTGGTTGGGGAGCAACAGGAAGCAAATTTGTTTGCTTCAGCCAACTTCACTACTTCTCTGCACATGTCAAGACACATGGAAGGAGGCTTAAATTGAACCGAGACTCTGAACAACACAGCTCACCGCAGTGGCAGCATCCGACTCATTTTTCCATGCCGTGTGGATAGGGCACCAGATCTTGACTCGTGGGACATTGTTGTCAGTGTCTCACATATATTCCTTGAGACGGTGACACTGATCTACTTCCTGCCCAGTGTTAAACTGAGACTCATAACGGACGAGGAGTTTTTGAAACCATGCTGAGTGGCAGTGTCTCCAGTCAAGGTTTTGTGACCCTCTTCACGAGGCCTTGTGCCCCACAGATTGTCGGCTCTAACACCCCAAGATGTCTTGCTCTTCTTCTCAAGATTTGGAAGCCACTTTGTCCAACGTATATCTTTTGTCTGTGTGTGTATCCTGGCTGCCAATCTATATCACCTGTGGTCCCATCCCTTCAGCTATTATTGAATGTGGATGTATCTATTGTAACATGAACATACACTACAAAATAGCTGAAGGTTCGTTCTGTTTACATACACTGTTAATGGTATACTAGGTTGTGAAGCCCTCCCCAGTGCTCCGAAGGATCTTCAGAAGAACGCAAAGGAACCCCTGGTGAACCCTGCTCTCAGGCCGAGTTGGAGTTCTTGTCATGATAGGATCACTCCTTAACTGAAATTCTTCTCAGACTATTGATGTCAGACCTTTGCTGCACTCTTTTGGTACCTGCTTAACATACTTGTTAATCAGGTATGCCTTTCCAGAGGCATAGATGTAGATGTGTTTTAATCTTACACTGGCAATTATAATATTTTTAACTGTTTTAATTTTGCCTTTATATTTCAAATGTTTCACTTGTTTTCAACTTTTTAATTGATTATTTTAACATTTCTAGTGAACCACGTAGATGTTTTGTTACCATCAAGTGGCATATAGGTTTTATTAAATAATAATAAATAAAGGTCCGTCCCTCCCCCAATCGTAAGGGTTTTAGAAACCTACTTTTGTTTTTTGTTTTTGTGGAACATTTGCAATACAGTTGTACCTTGGATCCCAAACGCCTTGGTACTCGGACGTTTTGGCTCCCGAACATCACAAACCTGGAAGTGAGTATGTGAACGTTCTTTGGAACCCAAACATCTGGCGCGGCGTGCACAGCTTCCGATTGGCTGCAGGAGCTTCCTGCAGCCAATCAAAAGCCGCGCATTGGTTTCCAAACATTTTGGAAGTTGAACGGACTTCCGGAACAGATTCCGTTCGACTTCCAAGGTACAACTGTACTTTATATAAAAGTTTGTGAGTTGTTGTTTTTCCTGGTATCATTTCATGGAATAAGCACCATCTATAGAAAATGGCTTCCATCTTCCAGCAACTTTTTTGCTGATGGCTCTGTGCTCTGACCTGTTGTTATTGTTGATAATATTTTTTCTTTTTTTGTATCCAATTCATTAGTAACTGAAAATAGAAAGATACCCCTCATTTATTTTTATTTTTTGAAGGAATGATCACAGTTTGATTTTGGAAAGTTCTCAAAAGTATAAATTTGGATCATTCACACACTAATGTGGCAGCTGGGGCTTCCAGGGGGAAAGTAACTCAAAAGATGCAAATATTGAAAGAAAAACCATGGGGACACCTTTTTCAAAAAAATGCATTGGACTGTGCCTGCAACATATGTTCAGATTTGGTCAGCACACGAAGGACTGTGAACCTCTAGCGTTCTTAGTCAGTCTCATATGTTTGGAAAGATAAATCTCTTGCTGCGCCGCATCCCTGGAAGGCAAAAGGATACAGAATCTATATATCTAAACAGTCTTACTCCTCATATAAATTGCTGCCGTGGACTCCATTGGGAGGAAGAGCGGGATATAAATTTAATAAATATGGTATTGTACTGAGTGGCAGCAAATTGTTACACAACTGAAAAACAAAACACCGTCATAGTTCCACTTCACTTCGCAGTGAACAAAGACGTGAATCACCCTGAGACCTCCGGGTATACAGCGGTATATAAATTCAATAATATTAAATAATAAATATAGGCAGGTCTTTGCTTTCCTTCTTTTCAGCCCAGCCATATGCTAGCGTGGCTTCTCTCTGCTTTGCTCAGCCTCTACAGGGAGCAGCAACAGCGATCCTGAAGGAAAAACAAGCCTGCATCTGATTGCAAATTGGGAGAATTTGTACACTTTCTGAGGCTTTACTTCAGAAGTGTCTAATCTTCAGCCCTGAACCACAGCTTACACCATCCCTGACCACTGGCCATGCTGGTTTGGGCAGATGGAAATTTTGATCCCACAAGATCTGGAGGGCCAAAGCTTCCCCATCTTATAATCTACTTGACTGGAAGCATGAATTGGTCACTGAAACCGGCATGCCCAAACAGATGAGCTATGCTTGATTCTTTTGCTTTGCAAGTACAGTGGTACCTCGGGTTACATATGCTTCATCCCTAACTAATAGGACCAGTGGTCAGGGATGATGGGAATTGTAGTCCCAAAACATCTGGAGGACTGAGTTTTGGGGTGCCTGCTCTAGACCACTTAAGAGTTTGCTTGTTTTTAAGCATCATGATCTAGGGATGCGGGTGGCGCTGTGGGTTAAACCACAGAGCCTAGGACTTACCGATCAAAAGGTCGGCGGTTTGAATCCCCATGACGGGGTGAGCTCCCGTTGCTCGGTCCCTGCTCCTGCCAGCCTAGCAGTTCGAAAGCACATCACAGTGCAAGTAGATAAATAGGTACCACTCCAGCGGGAAGGTAAACGGGAAGCTGTACGCCGGCTCCCTTGGCCAATAAAGCGAGATGAGCGCGTAACCTCAGAGTCGGTCATGACTGGACCTAATGGTCAGGGGTCCCTTTACCTTTTAAGCATCGTGATGCGCTTTAGCAACACTTTTAAATAAACAGCACAAAATAAAAGGGGTGAGAGGGACCTGAGAGAATGAAAGCGAAGAGAGTAAAAAGTGAAGCTGCCTCAACTCTCCCACTAAGCCAGAAGAGAAGGAAGAGGTGATGAAACCTACGTCTACAAAATAGACGGCTTGCTTTTTCACTCCTGTTTTCAGCACGCGGGGAAACCACGGAACGAATAAAATTATCATAGAATCATAGAGTTGGAATAGACCACAAGGGCCATCGAGTCCAACCCCCTGCCAAGCAGGAAACACCATCAGAGCACTCCTGACATATGGTTGTCAAGCCTCTGCTTAAAGACCTCCAAAGTAGGAGACTCCACCACACTCCTTGGCAGCAAATTCCACTGTCAAACAGCTCTTACTGTCAGGAAGTTCTTCCTAATGTTTAGGTGGAATCTTCTTTCTTGTAGTTTGGATCCATTGCTCCATGTCCGCTTCTCTGGAGCAGCAGAAAACAACCTTTCTCCCTCCTCCATATGACATCCTTTTATATATTTGAACATGGCTATCATATCACCCCTTAACCTCCTCTTCTCCAGGCTAAACATGCCCAGCTCCCTTAGCCGTTCCTCATAAGGCATCGTTTCCAGGCCTTTGACCATTTTGGTTGCCCTCCTCTGGACACGTTCCAGTTTGTCAGTGTCCTTCTTGAACTGTGGTGCCCAGAACTGGACACAGTACTCCAGGTGAGGTCTGACCAGAGCAGAATACAGTGGCACTATTACTTCCCTTGATCTAGATGCTATACTCCTATTGATGCAGCCCAGAATTGCAAAATTGCCCAAAATTGGTCTGAGCCACACCTTTCCCGGGAGCAGCCAATCCACGGAGGGCGGATCCGCCCTCGAATGAAACGAGAAGGGATCCAGAGCTTCTCGCGCAAACACACGTCTTCCCTCCCTCCCACCAAGCAGTTTTAAGGAAAGCGTTGCCTCGTGTGGGAAAAGGCCCTTTGCCAGAAAATAAATGGCACCCAGGCGAGAGCAGACTCAGGACTTGCCTGCAAAGCCAGATTTTCACCTTTCACTCCCCCCCCCTCACACCCGCGCGCGCAACTTTCGCTGCTCCACCTGCGTTGATTCGTGGGCACTCGGCGCGCCTTCTCATTCATGCGCGCTCGGTTCATTCATTGATGGTTGCCCCAAACACGCCACGCCCCCGCCGCCCCCCCCCCGCAGGGAAAGGCGTGGCTTCGGCCGCCACTATTTATCGGTCGCCTGGAGCAGCTTTCGAACTTTCCCTTTCTCGCGGGTGCTTCCTCCGCATCCACAGTTTCGCCATCTCTGGACGCTGGCCGTTCTCGGCTCTCTCTTCCCTACCCACATAAGTACCGGAATTGGCAGCAGGCAGCGTTTTGGCAGGTAACTCCTCCTTTCCTTTCTTGCTGGGTAAAAAACTGGCGGCTGTTTTGAGCTGGCATCTTAGGGAAATTGCTGTGCTTTAAAACTAGCTCCACTTAATAATAATAATAATAATAATAATAATAATAATAATAATAATAATAATAATAATAATAATAATAATAATAAATTTATGCATGCATGCATGCTTGCACAACCTAGTCTTCCTCCTAACTGAATAAGGGGAGCATTGGAAGCTTGCGAGGAAAGAGCCTTAGAGCCTTTTTAGAAAAGCCGAGCTTCCTTTGCAGCCTCGTTGCCCCCTCCCTCAACGTCAGAGGATCCAGTTTCCTATCTAGTACTGGAATCCTGAATCGTCTATGAAGCTGCCCAGCTTTACCGAGCCTTTGTGAATAAACCTGAACAGTCAATAGGCTATGTTTAGTTCAGTTGCAGAGCCACAGTGGGTTCATTTTGTATTCTGTTTTTACCTTCTGCCTGGTCCCCCCCCCCTCCCCACAACCTTTTATTCCTAAGGAAAGTTCCTTCGTGTGACTGCTGATGTGTGTATGCCTGCCAACCTCAGGGTTACAGAATCTCCACCTACCTAGACACTTGGTATTCAGGCTACTGGGAGTTTAGGATCACAGTTTGTAGTGACCACACACTCTTCTGAGGTCTGGGAGAGTCTCTGAGATATTGATGGACACTGGCTCAATACCTTTTTTAAAAGTACCTGCTTTAGTGTGTTCCAGTTTTAAATATACAGTGGTACCTCGGGTTAAGTACTTAATTCGTTCCGGAGGTCCGTTCTTAACCTGAAACTGTTCTTAACCTGAAGCACCACTTTTGCTAATGGGGCCTCCTGCTGCTGCCGTGCCGCCGGAGCACGATTTCTGTTTTCATCCTGAAGCAAAGTTCTTAACCCGAAGAACTTTGGGTTCTTCTGGGTTTATTTCTGGATTAGCGGAGTCTGTAACCTGAAGCGTATGTAACCTGAAGCGTATGTAACCCAAGGTACCACTGTGTGTGTGTGTATATATATATACAGTGGTACCTTGGGTTACATACGCTTCAGGTTACATTCACTTCAGGTTAAGAACGGACAAATTAAGTACTTAACCTGAGGTACCACTGTATATGTGTGTGTGTGTGTTAAGACCCCCTCGCTAAAGAAAGTTGCAAAAATTAAGTTTCACCCCTTAAAATGACACTCCCTACAAAGCCCTGCTTTGATCTATTTATCTGTCTAAATTGAGGACGAAGTTACAGCTCCCACAAACCCTGTCAATTGGCCATGCTACCTGGGATTGATGGGGCAGGTGGGCACTGTGTTGGCTATGCTTGATGTAAATGGATGTCTGGAAAAACATTTCGTTTTCTTGAAATACCCTTTCCTTCCTCCTCCTCCAACAATTTCTCATTTTCTCACCCGCTCACCCTCAGGCTGAGTGAGTGGCTGTTGAGAACATATGAAGAGTGTTAGAGGCCATAAGAGGAGTTCATCTCCGTGTGGAAGGTGATTTGCTGAAGCTGTCAGACAATTGATGGACTAGTTGTCTAGGTGCAAGTTTCTTTAGTGTGGAGGTACATGAAAGGTACATGAAAGGTGAAGGGACGCGGGTGGCGCTGTGGGTTAAACCACAGAGCCTAGGACTTGCCGATCAGAAGGTCGGTGGTTCGAATCCCCGTGACGGGGTGAGCTCCTGTTGCTCGGTCCCAGCTCCTGCCAACCTAGCAGTTCAAAAACACGTTAAAGTGCAAGTAGATAAATAGGTACCACTCTGGCGGGAAGGTAAACGGTGTTTCCGTGCGCTGCTCTGGTTCGCCAGAAGCGGCTTAGTCATGCTGGCCACATGACCCGGAAGCTGTACGCCGGCTCCCTCGACCAATAAAGCGAGATGAGCACCGCAACCCCAGAGTCAGCCACGACTGGACCTAATGGTCAGGGGTCCCTTTACCTTTTTACATTAAAGGTGAGATTATATCGTGTGAAATTTAAGTGCTCTGGTAAAGAGGTGCTCTGTTGAGTATTCTGTTAGAGAGCTTTGCTATAAAGTGAGGTTTTCAGGTCTTGGTTTATATATTTGAGCGGGGTTTATATACTATTAGTGAGATATAAGAAAGGGCACAGCTACTATTTGTTAGAATTCCTGCTCCACGATTGAAAGTCATGGGATTATTGTCTATCACATAACAGTGTATGTTTTGACTCCACAGAGTGCGAAGTGATGGAGACAGGATGTTTGTGTTACTGTGTTCCGTGAAGTGGGACTATTGTCCTTTGTCCTTTTTCTCTTTGCTGTCTGATGCTAGAGAGAGAGGGAGCCGTGTTGCAGTGCTCCGTGTGTGTTTATATGTAAATAAAGTAGATTAGCCAAAATGCTGAGTTGCTGAAGTCTGTTACGCAACTGTGCAAACTCTGCGGATCCCTAAGTGTGCCAATGTCTGTTGGCATCGGTCGCTGTGATGTTCGGGCAGAAGAAAGCTTTTGAAGCTCTTGAACGATCGACCAGGAGGGAGAGAACATGCCAGTCGGGCATGTGTCTCTACCAGGGTCCTACTTGAGTGTAGGCTGAACTCCTGACACTATTTCCCTCTCTTTTCCTGCAGTTCCAGGAAGAGAACCACCATGGCTGCTGAGAACCTCAGGAAGAGGCTTCAGGAGGAGGTGACTTGCTGCATTTGCCTCGACTTCTTCACCGATCCTGTTACCTTAGAGTGCGAGCACAGCTTCTGCTCCGCCTGCATTGCCCAGTGTCGGGGGGAATCTTCTTCCAACGCCCTCTGCCCTCTGTGTAAAAGGGCCTTCCGGGCAACGAAGTCCAAGCCGAACAAGCAACTGGGCAACTTTGCCGAGATAGCCAAGCAGCTGAGAGATCAGGAGAAGGAGGAGGCTGAAGGGAGGCGCTTCTGCGGGAGACACGGGGAGCCCCTGAAACTCTTCTGCAAGGATGACCAAGTCCCCATCTGTGTGGTGTGTGACTGGTCCAAGGAGCACAAAGGACATGAAGTGGTTCCCAAGGAGGAGGCTGCCCAAGAGTACAGGGTAGGTTAAGGTTACCAGATTTTTTTCAATGAATCCGAGGACACTTTTTTTTTCTTAAAAAAAAATATTTTTATTAAACAATTTCAGCATAACAAATTATCAGTCCAAATAATCAATTACATTATTTTTCCCCTTCCCTCTCACCCAGGACTTCCCTCAGCTCCTCTCTCTGGTTTCTTTGCACATATTGTTCTCTGCATGTTATAAAACTGTACATATCCTTGCCTTATCTATCATGTGTTCAACTAATAAATTTGTGGATGTTTATTCAAAACCTGCCAAGGAGTCCAGGTCATTTTGTTGTCTTTTTAGGTAATTTGTAAAGAGTTCCCATTCTTCCTTGAAGTCACAATTGTCTTTATCACGCAGTTTGTATGTCAATTTGGCCAATCCCACATAGCTCATCCATTTTTCTTGCCACTGCTCTTTCGTTGGGATTTCCTCATTTTTCCATCCTTCTGCTAACAAGACTCTTGCCGCTGTTGTAGCATACATAAATAAGTTCTTCATTTTTCTTGGCAGGTCTTGTCCTACAATCTCTAACAAAAATACTCCTGCTTCTTTTAAAAAATGTCATGTTAAACATTTTTTTCTATTCATTATATATCATTTCCCTTTTTTTTTTTTTACTTCTCTACATCCCCACCACATATGATAAAAAGTGCCTTCTTTTTCTTTACATTTCCAACATATGTTTGACCCGGTTTTGTACATTTTTGCTATTTATACTGGTGTGATATACCATCTGTACATCATAGAATCATAGAGTTGGAAGAGACCACAAGGGCCATCGAGTCCAACCCCCTGCCAAGCAGGAAACACCATCAGAGCACTCCTGACATATGGTTGTCAAGCCTCTGCTTAAAGACCTCCAAAGACGGAGACTCCACCACACTCCTTGGCAGCAAATTCCACTGTCGAACAGCTCTTACAGTCAGGAAGTTCTTCCTAATGTTTAGGTGGAATCTTCTTTCTTGTAGTTTGGATCCATTGCTCCGTGTCCGCTTCTCTGGAGCAGCAGAAAACAACCTTTCTCCCTCCTCTATGTGACATCCTTTTATATATTTGAACATGGCTATCATATCACCCCTTAACCTCCTCTTCTCCAGGCTAAACATGCCCAGCTCCCTTAGCCGTTCCTCATAAGGCATCGTTTCCAGGCCTTTGACCATTTTGGTTGCCCTCCTCTGAATCATTTTCATATAATTTTCTTTCAAAAGAGAACATTCTGTAAATTTCAGATCTACCTTCCACAATTTTCCCCAGTCCTCAAATTGTATATTATGTCCTATATCTTGTGCAATCCTGAGACACTTTTCAACTTCCTACTAAACAGATGGATTTTGTCAGGGGACTGATTTGTAAATCCGGGGACTGTCCCTGGAAAACGAGGGATGTCTGGTAACCTTAGGGTAGGTGGGACGCTGCTTCAGGGAGCAGTGAACAGGGCACGCTTTGTGTTTGTCGACAGGCAGTAAAATTGGAACGCTCTTTGGAGACCTGAACCCAAAAAAAGGGGGTAGATCGCTTCCAGCTTTTAACTCTGTGAGTAGAGTGCAGTCTCTTGGGAGTTGGCCACCCCTGCCCCAAGGGAAGAAGGATCAGAGCCTGGGAGTGGCGATGTGACAACTATGAGTGGTCACAGGAAGCAGACTGGAATGAGGAGGTGTCAGAAGCTGGAGGGGAAACAGGGCTTAGTGGGCAGGGAGAGTCTGTGGCAGAGAAGTCCAGAATCAGAGGAAGGAGCGGAGGGGGACAGAAGGCAGAGAATGAGGCAGGCTGCTGAAAAGTCGCTGGTGTCTCCCCCTCCTGCTGCGACAAGCTCCCCTCACCCCTTCTCTCCCAGAACCAGAAGAGGGCTGAAATGAGCATAGCAGTGGAAGGCTGCAGGCAGGCACAGTCTCTGATTGCTTGGGGAAAGCCCTGTAGAGGAGGGGACTTAGACAGCTGTGGGAGGTGGGCACTTTCAGTCTCGGCAACTGATCCATGGGGCAAGACCTACCGGGAATGAGCTGCTGGGCTCATCAGCCAAGTTCGTGCATAGAGTAAAATAGATTAAGGGGTGAGGAAATTGGGGCTTCCTCCAGGTGTTGCTGAACTACAACTCCCATCAGCCCCTACCGTCATCCCTAGTGGTCAGGGAGGATGCAAGCTGTAGCTGAGCAATGTATGTAGGGCTGAAAATTAGCCACTACTGAAGTAAAGCCCCAGAGGGAATTGGGAAGCAAGGAGCAGAGTGAATGGAGCTTCCATTGAAACAATAGTGACTTTTTTCTTTTCTCCTATAATTTTTATTAAATTTGTTTTACATTTTAGAATATTTATTTAAACAACCTTAAAATATCAGTGACTTCCCTTCTCTTTCCATGGTTCATTTTACAAAACATAAATCCCTGCATATTTTATATAAACCAAACCATTCAGTAGTCCATTATTACATCCATCAAAACTTATTTACACTGTTGAATTTATCTTAAAGCTGCCCACGTTTTCAAATAAACACAATTTTCCTCCATATATTCAGTAAACATTTTCCAGTCTTCTTTAAACGTATGTTCTTCTTGTTCTCTTATTCTATATGTTAGGTCTGCAAGTTGCGCATAATCCATCAGCTTAAGTTGTCATTCTCTTTAGTTGGGACTTCGATCGATTTCCATTTTTCGGCTAACGAAACACGGGCTGCAGTAGTGGCATACGTAAATAACCTTTTTTTGACACCTGGGAATTTCCATCTGAATTACCCCCAACCCAAAGGAATCTTTGTTTTTGGAAAAGCACTTTTAAACTCCCCCCCCCAATTCCTTATGGAACAATAGTGACTTTTTTCAAACCTTCTCTAACACGATTTCTCGCCCTCCTCTCCAGGATCACATCTGCAGCTTGCTGGAAGTGATGAGGAAGCAGAGAGAAGAGATACTGGTGCATATATTGAATACAGAAAAGGAAAGCCAAGACCTGCTTGTACGTGTCTCTTTTCACTGGGAACTTGTGGAGCTATTATTTTGAGCACCGCATGCCACCAAGAGTTGCCTAGTGTGTCCTGAGCTCTCAGAAAGCCCCCTGTAGATGCTCTGACTTCCTAGAATTCTCTAGAAAGCTATTGTGCCTTGGGAGCATAGCTGAATGTTGTGGTTCCCTAAAGGTGGCTCACACGCCACAATGCGATCCATAAATGGATATTTTTTGGGGGGGGTGCGGGGGCAGGAGGGAAGACCAACAATGCATGCCACCCTGATCTCTTGGAAGACGAGACGGGATGGAAATGTTGTAAATACAGTGGTACCTCTGGTTGCAAACAGGATCCGTTCCAGAGGCCCATTCGCAACATGAAAAGCCCGCAACCTGAAGCGCTGTATCTGCGCAGGTGCGCAGCGTGATTTGGTGCTTGTGTGCATGCACAAAGTGCGATTTAGTGCTTGTGTGCATGCGTGAGCGGCGAAACCCGGAAGTAACCCTTTCCGGTACTTCTGGGTCACCGCGGGACACAACCTGAAAAAACGTATCATGAAACAAACGTAACATCAGGTATGACTGTAGATGTCTGATTTTGCTTTATATTTTTATTATTACCATCATACCCCAGGTTTCCTCCAAGGAAACTCAGGGTGGCATATTTGCCATAGCTGTCAACCGCCCCTTATTTGGCGGGAAACTCCCTTATCCCAGCGCCGTGTCCCGCTGCTGTCCCTTATTGATGATGTCCCTTAAATTTCCCGGGTTTCATGCTCGCCCGGCTCGGGAGGGAAGCAGTGGCTCAGGGTCCTCCGCTGCGAGAGAGAGAGCGCGCACTGTCACCGTCGTCTTGGCGCAAGGAGTTCCATTGCCTGAGAGAGAGGGGGAAAGGGAGAGAGACTCTTGCCCACGCTGCCTGCAAGCCCGGAGGCGGCGGCTGATGAGGCGGCCTGAGGGAGGAGGAAGAGGAGGGGATGGGGAGGGACGCAGAAGGGCGGTGCTTCAGTGGCCACTGCCGCGCCACAACCGCCTCATGCCGGATTGACAGCATCTGTCAATCCTACCAATGTATGTAACCCTTTAGAATAGCAAAATCCCTTATTTTGGCTGCTGATCCCTTATTTTCGAGGCTGCTGGTCCCTTATTTTCAAATCTGTAAGTTGACAGCTATGCATATTTGCATTTCTCTCTCCCCCCCCCCCGCCATTTTATCCTTACAACAGCCTTGTGCGGTAGGTTAGGCTGAGAGACAGTGGCTGGCCCAAAGGCAGCCAGTGACCATTATGGCTGGGTGGGATTTGAACCCTGGTCCCTCAGGTCCCCCAGTCGAGCTCTCTAACCACCACACCGCACCGGCTCCCCTCTCTCTCCATCTGCTGCAGAAACGGATAGAATCCGAGCGGGAGAAAATGACGGTGGGAGTCAAGCAGCTGTACCACATTATCAAAAAGCAACTGGGCTTCATTGTGGCACAGATGGAGTGGGCCAAGAAGGAGATTGTGACGAAGAGGGACGAGCAAATGGCCAAACTCTCCCAGGACCTCTCCTCTCTGGGCAGCAGCATCCAAGAGATGGAGCAGACATCTCGGCTTCCTGTGAGCGACTTCCTGCAGGTAAGATGGCTGCCTGTATTTTTCCCCAGTACAGTCGTACCTCAGAAGTTGAACAGAATCCATTCCGGAAGTCCGTTCGATTTCCAAAGCGCGGCTTCTGAATGGCTGCAGGAAGCTTCTGTAGCCAATCGGAAGTCCTGTTTGACGTTCGGCTTCCGAAAGAACGTTCGAAAACTGGAACACCCACTTCGGTTTCCGATCGTTTGGGAGCCGGAACGTTCAACTCCCAAGGCGTTCGGGAGCCGAGGCACGATTATAGTGTTGTACAGTGGTACCTCAGGTTACATACGCTTCAGGTTACAGACTCCGCTAACCCAGAAATAGAGCTTCAGGTTAAGAACTTTGCTTCAGGATGAGAACAGAAATCACGCAGCAGCGGGAGGCCCCATTAGCTAAAGTGGTGCTTCAGGTTAAAAACAGTTTCAGGTTAAGTACGGACCTCTGGAACGAATTAAGTACTTAACCCGAGGTACCACTGTATACAGAATAAAGCTGGGGGAAGAAGTAGTCGTGGGGGGGATGGGGAGAAGATTGCCCCCCCCTTAACCTTTTCCAACTCAACAATATCCTTTTTGAGTTGAGGTGACCAGAACTTTATACAGGACTCCAAATGCAGTCGCACCACAGATTTGTATAAGTCATGGGTAGGCAAACTAAGGCCCGGGGGCTGGATCCAGCCCAATTGCCTTCTAAATTGGGCTTGCGGATGGTCCGGGAATCAGCATGTTTTTACATGAGTAGAATGTGCCCTTTTATTTAAAATGCATCTCTGGGTTATTTGTGGGGCATAGGAATTCGTTCATTTCCCCCCCTTCAAAATCTAGTCCGGCCCCCCACAAGGTCTGAGGGACAGTGGACTGGCTCCCTGCTGAAAAAGTTTGCTGACCCCTGGTATAAGGGCATGTATTAGGATATTGACAGTTTTTGTTTTCTTTCCCAGTGATCCTTAGCTAGAAATTTTAAACCCCAATGCATCCTTACCCCAGGGGGCATTCAAGTTCTGTGTGGGGTCTCCTTAGCAGCCTGCGGCAGGGCACTCAGTTCCCTCTTCTCCCTCTCCCCACTCTAGGACGTTGCAGGCACCTTGCAAAGGTAAGTGGGTCCCGTTCGTTCTGTTTCACATTTGGTTAACCTTGGGAGACTTTGCACAATAGGGGAAGTTGCTGCTGCAGTGCCATTTAACCTGTTTATTCCCCAGTTGTATTTGTACCTGGCTCAGCTCTTCCAAAGGACCACCCAGCTTTGCACAGGGAAGAAGGTGGTGGTGAAGGAATCTCCTCTTCCTTTTAATGTCACTTGCCGAAGGTCAATCGGCTTGTCCTTAAAGGGGCGGCACTTCCTATGAGAGGTGGATGATCTGTTGAACTATTCTTGGGATGATCTTATCGGCAAAACCTATTTGGTGTTTCGCAACTTTCTGACTAGTTGCAGGACCTTAGCCAGACCTAGCAGAGTAAACGCAGAATCCACGGAAGCAATTGGCGACTTGGCTGCAGACAGGATAGACAAAGCAGGAACCAGGAACTTGTAGTTAGGTGTTTATTATATACAGTGGACTATTTACAGGAACAGAACACGGATCTTTTGCTAGCTCTCTCTGACACGACTCACAACTCCTACACTGACACAGAACTCTGAACCACTGAACCAACACATTCCAGTTAGTAGGCCATTAATTATCACTCCCTTGAGAGAGCTTGACCAATCAGGGAGCTGTCTCCATGTCTCTGTTATCACCAGGCAGACTTACTCCTTCAGATTGCCTTCTGGCTGTCTGCCAAACCTTAATTGACTCTGTGTGAGTTGCTGCACATACACAGTTTCCCAACAGAACTTTGCATAGTTTTGAAGCCCAGCTGCTTATTATGGTGTCTTCTTCTCCACTAAGCAGCCCGCGAGGCAGGAAGGATGGAGTGTGACCTACAGTACAAAAATGACCCAAATTGTGCCAGTTTTCTGTCCCTGTGAGATGGGCTTATTGGTGTTCACCTTCCTTCCTTCCTTCCTTCCTTCCTTCCTTCCTTCCTTCCTTCCTTCCTTCCTTCCTTCCTTTTTCTGTCCATTTCTCTCTTTTCCTTCCACTCTGATTATTAATCTGTCCAGATAAAGGGATAAATCATTATTATAGGCTCTTTTTCTCTTTCTCCAGGAGCAAGGAGGTCAAGTTTAAAAACGTAGCCACTTTCCCTCCAAAACTAAAATGGAAAACTTGGGAATTTTGGGACGTCACTGCCATTTTGCAGAAGTTCACAGAGAAATTCAAAGGTATCGGAAGGGTTTTGGGTGGGGAATTGGCTGCCAGGCAAAGGGGGGAGGGTGGAATTGGCGTGGGAACGAGGCTTTGTAGGAGATTCTCTCAGATGCAGGGAGCTCAGGCAACAGCGAGGAGGCCATCTTTTATTTCTCCCAGGGACCCAGCTTCCTGCATCTGGAAGTAACTGCTTCCTAGGGTATTGTTGCCTTGCAGCAGAGGACCACAGAGAATGCCTAAGGAAGTTTGGATTCTTCTCTCCTGACAGCCCCTTGATGAAAGAAAGAAGGCCCTGCATTGTCAGCTAGGAACCTGGAAATGGCAGAGTTATAAAGCCATAACACACACATACACCTTAATCAGACTCGAATTGAAGGTGACTGGATTTTATGGGTAAACCAGGATCCATCCTATAGACTTTTGGTGTTGGAAGGCACCCAAAAGCCCTGTTCAGTTGAATATTTATTTATCCATTTAATTTCCTTTATGAATCACTTCTCATAAAGCTTCCCAAAGCAATTTCACAAGAAAAACATATACAGACTGCCTTATCCATGCCTCCCCTTGTTCTGCTGCTTCCGTCACCCTCCTGGGGGGGGGGACGACTCTTTAGTGCTCAATCGGAGCTAACAGGAATCTGGGTTTTCCCCAGATTGCCAAAATCTACTGGTACCACATTCCCAATAGGTGGTCCTGCAACCTTTGATTAAAAGCCCTCTTAACGAAAGGGGGGAGAGTCTATCGGTTACTGGTTTTTACACATGGGGTGGTTTTCTGTGCATTTGAAGCACTCCTTTGATCTCACTCCCCCATTTTCTTCTACAGGCAATCTGATATCTGGATATTCACTGCGTAAAGGTAAATTTCAGGCAGCAAAAGGTGGTGTTGAGGTACCTCTCAATAGCTGACCACCTATTTCTTTGTTCACTCACTTTAAATCCAGGGTGGGAAACTGGATCGAGAAGTAGCCACAGAGTATTTGTTGTGGGGGAGGAAGAGAAAGGAGAATTTTAGCCGCTTTGAGACTCCTTCGGGTAGTGATAAAGCGGGATATCAAATCCAAACTCTTCCTCTTCTTCTCTTCTTCCGCAGCGAAAGTGTCTCTGAACTCAGCCACGGCCCATCCTCGGCTCGTCGTATCCGAGGACCTGAGAAGTTTGGCGCTGGCAGAAAGGCCGCAGGCCCTTCCCCTCAGCGCTGGCCGATTTGAGCGCTGGCCGTGCGCTCAGTGCCGGGAGTCCTTCAGCTCTGGCAGAAGCTACTGGGAAGTCGAAGTGAGGAACGAGGGCGCCTGGGCTCTGGGCATCTCAAAACCGCTTGTGGCGGTCAGGAAGGACGCACAGCCTTCCCCGGAAGCCGGCGTCTGGGCTATTGGGAGGTGGGAGGGTCAGTACAGGGCTGTTGTCCCACCGCATTACCCTTTCCTGTATCCGAGCAGGGAGCCCCAAAGAATACGAGTGGCCCTGAATCTGGATGCTCAACAGGTGGCTTTTTTTGATGCTGAGGCAGCAAGCCTGCTCCACACTTTCTCCTTAGCCGAATCCTCGTCCGACACCTTCTGCCCCTTCTTTTGGATCTGGAAAAAATCCCATCTCCAACTCTGCCCGTGAGAAAGGAGTGCAGCCTTTCTTGTTGATCTATTTTCTGCTCCTTCCCTCTGGCTTCTCCCAATGCAAACTTAACAACAAACCTTCAGACCAAAAGCCTAGATATTCTTCCACACTCTAAGGTTCTGTTTACCGTTTTCCACAAAACAGAAGCTGCCTCTCTTTGAAACCAGTGTAAATGCTTTTTAATGTTTGATTTTACCTTACAGAATGAGCAGCCTTGGAGGTTTCTTTAGAACCATGGAAGTTTTATATATATATTCTTAACACACAAATAAAAAGAATAAAGGGTCGTCACTCCCAAGTTGGCCTGAGCTTTATTTGTTGTGGAAAGTCCAGGATCTGAAGCATCTGTTGCTGCTTTTCTGTAGCTAAACGATTTTGACTGTAAGAGCTGTTTGACAGTGGAGCAGTCTCCCGTGGGAGGTTGTGTGTTCTCCTCCTTTGGCAGTTTTTAAGCAGAGGTTAGATGGCCGTCCGTCCTGGATGCTTTAGCTGAGATTCCTGCATTGCAGGGAGTTGGACTAGAGGACCCTAGGAGATCTCTTCGAACTCAACAATTCTGTGATTTTATTATTCCCTGGTGGGTAGATCCTTGGCGTACAGTGGTACCTCGCAAGACGAATGCCTCGCAAGACAAAAAACTCGCTAGACGAAAGGGTTTTTTGTTTTTTGAGCTGCTTCGCAAGACGATTTTCCCTATGGGCTTGCTTCTCAAGACGGAAACGTCTTGCAAGTTTGTTTCCTTTTTCTTAACACCGTTAATACAGTTGCGGCTTGACTTCGAGGAGCAACTCATAGAACACGGTGTGGTAGCCTTTTTTGAGGTTTTTAAAGACTTTGGTGATTTTTGAAGCTTTTCCAAAACTTTCCCGACACCGTGCTTCACAAGATGACAAAACTCACGGAACGAATTAATTTTGTCTTGCGAGGCACCACTGTATTTTCATGAAATTGCAAAAAAAAAAATAGGAGTGTTGGAACTCTGAGCCACATCTACAATTTGTTTTCGCATGCAAGCAATGATGGCTGTCAACGGCAACAAAGGATTCTTTGCAGCGAAGCTCCCCTATATTCTGAGTTCTCTGTTTCTTCGGAAACGAAAGGTGAACACATTTCTCCAGTGTGGTAGCGCAGCACTTTTAGAGCTGTGGAGGTAAGGGGATAAGCCACTGTGGCTAGTAGCCTCTGACAGCAATCACCACATATATTTTTTCCATTTGTCTTTTTAAGCCATCCAGGTTAGTGACCAACGCTGGGGAATGCCGTACTTTAACCATGCGCAGTACGAAGAAGTACCGTATTTTTCCGTGTATAAGACGTCAGAATTTTTATTAAGAAACATTGTTACAAATTTTGGGTCGTCTTATAGATGGGTGGGACGTGGGTGGCGCTGTGGGTAAAAGCCTCAGCGCCTAGGGCTTGCCGATCGAAAGGTCGGCGGTTCGAATCCCCGCAGCGGGGTGCGCTCCCGCTGTTAGGTCCCAGCGCCTGCCAACCTAGCAGTTCGAAAGCACCCCCGGGTGCAAGTAGATAAATAGGGACCGCTTACCAGTGGGAAGGTAAACGGCGTTCCGTGTGCTGCGCTGGCTCGCCAGATGCAGCTTTGTCACGCTGGCCATGTGACCCGGAAGTGTCTGCGGACAGCGCTGACCCCGGCCTCTTGAGTGAGATGGGCGCAAAACCCCAGAGTCTGTCAAGACTGGCCCGTACGGGCAGGGGTACCTTTACCTTTACCTTTATAGATGGGTAGTGCATAGGGGGGATGGGCGATTGTCATAGCCGTTTCCCTTTTTTTAAAGGGAAATTCCCTTATTCCGAATAGGATTCCTTGCAAGAAAAGGGAAAAGCTGACAGCTATGGTGATTGTTGACAGCCGCGAGTAGGAAATACACAGCGGTGATTGGGCGGGTGATTGGTGTATGCGCCAAGGGAATGTTGTTGCAGCAATTGGCCGGGCGATTTGTGGCTGCAGGCGGCGATCGGGCAGATGATTGTTGACTTCTGTGAGGCGGGTGAATGGCAGCTGCGTTGAGGCAGGTGAATGATTGCCAGCAATCCCCTCCCCGCCCGCCCCCCCCAAAAAAGGTGAACAACTCTGGGCAACCTTTCCTTTTTTTTTTTAATAAAAAATTTATTCATTTTTCTTTTTCATTCATTACATACATCTCAAATTCTTAACATTTACTATGTATTCCTTCCCCCCTCCCCTACTAGGCTTCCCCCAACACCCGCTTCTGGTTTGTTTCTCCTTTCACCCACTTTGCTTTTTGGGAGAAAAGCAATGACAAACCTAGACAGCATCTTAAAAAGCAGAGACATCACCTTGCCAACAAAGGTCTGTATAGTTAAAGCTATGGTTTTCCCAGTAGTGATGTATGGAAGTGAGAGCTGGACCATAAAGAAGGCTGATTGCCAAAGAATTGATGCTTTTGAATTATGGTGCTGGAGGAGACTCTTGAGAGTCCCATGGACTGCAAGAAGATCAAATCTATCCATTCTTAAGGAAATCAGCCCTGAGTGCTCACTGGAAGGACAGATCCTGAAGCTGAGGCTCCAGTACTTTGGCCACCTCATAATAAAATGAAGAAGAGGAGTTTGGATTTGATATCCCGCTTTATCACTACCCGAAGGAGTCTCAAAGCGGCTAACATTCTCCTTTCCCTTCCTCCCCCACAACAAACACTCTGTGAGGTGAGTGGGGCTGAGAGACTTCAGAGAAGTGTGACTGGCCCAAGGTCACCCAGCAGCTGCATGTGGAGGAGCGGAGACGCGAACCCAGTTCACCAGATTACGAGTCCACCGCTCTTAATCACTACACCACGCTGGCTCTCTAAATTTATTAACAATATATAAATGGTGACTCGGAATGGGGAAAGGTAAATATACCATGTAGGTGCAGACATCAAACATGGTACCCAAAAATGGGGTAAGAGGACAAGGAGAGCCCACCGGATCATGTCAAAGGACCAGTCTGTCCACCTTTCCATTTTATTATTTGCCAATCAGATGCCAATGGAACGTGTGCAGCCAGTACCTGTGTACAATAGCCAGTTTTCACACTTGCAGCTGGCGACCACCTCTGGCACTGAATGCAGCGCACAGCCATCAAGGCTGGTAGCTTTATAGACAGCTTTATCCAATAACCCCTATTCAAACCATCCAAGCTGATAGCCATCACAGGCAGCCCTTGTTTTGCACAGGGGTCACGTTCCGGACCCCACCGTGCATGGCAGTGGAAGACATGTAAGCCTGTTATGTCCCTTTCCGTGGCATCTTTACGACACTTTGGGGCTGCTTCCAGGTTTGGCACCATGTGTGATTGTGCATCATTCGGTAATTGGTTGTTACCTGTGCTACATCTTTTGGTAGTGGATGCTCATAGTTTAACTGTGCTGTATGAAGAAATACTCTTTTGCCTGACCTGGCCCTGTGAGTTAAACCACAGAGCCAAGGACTTGCCGATCAGAAGGTCAGCGGTTCGAATCCCTGCTCCAGTTGCTTGGTCCCAGCTCCTGCCAACCTAGCAGTTCGAAAGCACAAAGTGCAAGTAGATAACTAGGTACCGCTCTGGCAGGAAGGTAAACGGCATTTCTGTGCACTGCTGTGATTCGCCAGAAGTGTCTTAGTCATGCTGGCCACATGTCCCGGAAGCTGCACGCCGGCTCCCTCGGCCAATAAAGCGAGATGAGTGCCGCAACCCCAGAGTCGGTCACGACTGGACCTAATGGTCAGGGATCCCTTTACCTTTAATCCTCTAATGTTCTGCTTCATTTGATCCCCATGAGTTCCATTATTATTGTTTCCATTTATTAAATTTGTACCTCGCCCTTCTTCCGAAGACCTCAAGGCGGCTCGCAGCGTGTTCAACACGCCTGATTTTGCACACACATTTCATTTCCCCATCACTTTCTTTCCAACCGAAAAAGGCCCAGATGTTGCCACGCCCCTCCTAGGGGGAGTTGTCCCAGCTCCGTTATCATTTTGATTGCCCCAAACTATCCCTGTACCTTGAGCACAGAGCACCCTATGTCAAGTGCTGTCACGTGTACGCATATATACAGACGAACACACAAACACGTGCACACAGCTCCTTGGGGATCGCAGCAGATCAGGTGGGCGGGGAGGGGATATAATGTACATGCCCATCTGTCGTCGTCCCCCCAATAAATAAATTAATTGCTAGGATCTGGTGGGTGGCAGGAAATATTCCAGGGAGCCACTCCTAGTTTAAAGGAACCTAAGAAAAGATCAGGGCTGTTTCTGGAGGAAAGAGATCTACCCCTCCCTCTTAGCCCAGGCCACCCATCTGACAGCAGCAAAAACATCCGGCTAAGGCACACCCCTCGGCCCATTGCCGCTCCTCGCTCAGCCAGTCCCGGAGGAGATTCCGGGAAGCGGACTGCAAAGTCATTGCATTTGCGATCAGAAGCGAGAGCTGTCCTTTTTCCCGGGCGAGGCAGCCATGGACCACCCCGGGGGTCCCATCCAGGCGCTGTGCCTAGAAGCGACCTGCTCCATCTGCCTGGAGTTCTTCAAGGACCCGGTGATCCTCGACTGCGGGCACAATTTCTGCCAGGGCTGCCTGGCCCAGTGCTGCGAGGAGGGGGGCAAAAGCGTCTCCTGCCCCCAGTGTAGGGAAGCCGTCCCGAGAGAAAGCCCCCGGCCCAACTGGCAGCTGGCCAGCATGACAGAAATACTCCGGAAGCTGGAGGAAGAAGGGAGCGGGGCAGAAGCCAAGGAGGGGGGGTTGTGCCACAAGCACCGGGAGCCCCTGAAGCTCTTCTGCAAGGAGGATCGGGTCCCGATCTGCGTGGTGTGCGACAAATCCAAGGAGCACCGGGACCACCGCGTGATTCCCATAGAAGAGGTAACCCAGCAGGTAAGAAATCCCTGCTGTGGGGCATTGTGGGGCAGTGACTTTGTTTTTCTTGGGGTGGATCTGTGCGGGAAACCACCCGGATCGTAAAGTGGTAGGGGACCTCAGAGGTCATCCATTCCAGCCCGCGGCTGCTGCAGCTGCAGGAAATCCACGCCTACAGCATCCCTGATAGGTGGGCATGCAGTTCCTGTCCTCTGGAACAGCTTTCCCCAAACTGGTGCACGCCAGGGGTTTGGGACTACATCTCCCAGCAGTTCCAGCCAGTCAGGGATGATGGGAGGTACAGTGCATCTGGAGGGTGTCAGGGTGGCTGCGGTGGCAGGACAGGAAGCAAGTTTGCTCCATCATCTACATGGCAGGGCTTCGGATATCAGAAGGAGGCCGCCCTATTGCCTCATCACCAGCTCTTC